TACGCATTTCTTTTTCGAGCTATGTAGAGTTTAGTCCCCATACTCCATCTTATAATGCAAGCTGAGCCCTATGCATTCCCTTTGCACTTGTTTGGCAATTCCAGGTTTCTCTGGAACATTAAGTCTTATCCTTATTTTGCTTACTTTCCCTTATTTCCTTTTGTTTAAGCTTCTTTATTGTGAAAAATACAGAAGAGTAGAAAGAATGTACAGTTAATGCCCACATACCTCTCACTTAGCTGGAGTAGTTCTAACATTTTGCCATGTTACTTACTTCACCTTAGCTATGAACTTTTATGAATAATTTCAAATTATGTTGAAAACATCCTAAAATTTGTCTATAAATACTTCAGCATGTGGCTTAAAAAGTACAATAAAGTAAAATAAACATTCTCCTATATAGCCACAGAATTCTTGTCTTACTAAATAGAATTGTTATTTTCTGCTAAGTATTGAGAACCTAGGCTGTGTTCTAGTTGTATTAAAAATGTCTTACACTCTTTGGAAGCACTGGCTACTTCATCTGATCTGACAGCACCTCAGTGCAGCAGAGGTTTGCACAGACCCCCAGCAAAGTGTAGAGTGTGTGCAGTGGCACTGTGGGTTGGGCTGATGAGCGAGTTTCAGTGAGATTAACCAACGTGGAATCACCTTTAAAACAAGGCACAGTGCTCCTTGGATTTTTGCTTCATGTAGGTGTTCCCACCTGAATCTTGCCTTAGCTCTGAGGCAGGGCGAGCTATGGCTCAGCATGGGCACGGGGCAGGTTCAGGGCCTGAACTTAAGCCTTGACCATGGGACTCACATCCTTAACTGCAAGGTTCCTTGGCTACCAGGTAATTCCAGACAACAGAGTTATAGGTGCGTTGATTGCTAGGTAATAGTAATTTAAATTTTTTATAAGTGTATTATTTAGTCTTAAAGCTGTTATTCAGCAAACTTGTTAATCTGTCCTCTGTGATTAAGACTTGATTGCAGTATTCTTAGTGAAAATGAAGTTTGTTTTTATATCCTTCTTTTATGTGAACGTGGGGTTTAGTAAAGCTTAAGAATACCAGTAGAATTTTGAAAAGAAAAGGCTGTGGACAGACCCTGGGCTGTATCCTAGCACTGCCAAATAAGGAAAAAAGAAAGGAAAGAAGGAAAGAATCTGTGGTCTCAGATTATAGATAGAAGAAAATGCATAAGGAAGGAAGGAAGGAAGGAGGGAAGGAAGGAAAGAATCTGTGGTCTCAGATTATAAATAGAAGAAAATGCATTTGTATCTACTGATCATGATGCTGGGTTTTGTACAGAATAGAAAATACTTGGGCTAGTGGAATGGCTCAAGCAGTAAGAGCACCTGCTTAGCAAGGTGGGGCCTGAGTTCAAGCTCCAGTGCCACTGGGAAGGGGGAAGCCAGTCTGGGGAAGTAATTTGTGAGACCCTGTCTCAAAAAAACCCTTCACAAAAAAGTGGCTCAAGGTGTAGGCCCTGAGTTCAAACACCAGTACTGCAGGAAAAAAAGAAAATACTTGATACTTTTAAAAAATTTATTCATATGTGCATACATTGTTTGAGCCATTTCTCCCCCCGTCCCCTCACCCCTACTTGACACTTTCAAATCAAAGGTGATAAGTTAAAATTATTAGGGCATTTCTGTAATTGATAAGCTATAATTTTGAAGCTTATGTTTATTTTTAGATCTTAATAGCTCATGTCCACTCTCTGGCTATGCTCCATCAAATATAAATAATTAGCTACTTGATTCAGACTGTTAACTCTACATCATTTTTATGTTGAAAAATTTCCTTTACAAAACTGCATCATCTATTTTAGTAGTCTACATAAATAAAACAGTTATTTGGTGGCTAGTGACAGGTTGATGCTGCTTTCAAGAAAGGGAGCATTTTGGTTTTGTTTTCTCTCCTGGGGAATGTGGGTCCTTGGGTGGTGGCTCTGTTTTCCAGCTCTGGGTCCTGCCATAAATCAAAAGCCTGTTCCTTCACTGCCTGCCTTTCTATTTGATTTTAATGGGGAAAATACTTTATTTCTTAGGCATTTGATGTTTTTGACTATCTTTATAAACCCTAGAACATCAGTCTATAACTAGTAGATGCGTATTTGGGATTCTTTCATTATGTGACTATGACAAGAAAGTTTTTTTTCCTCCTTGTTTTCCTGAAGTAGCAGCTACTTGCAGCTTAATTCCCTGGTTGTGGGAAGTGGGGTGGTCTGCTTTGGCCAGGAATGCGCTAAGCTTCCATCTGCACTGAGAGGGTCTTGAGAGGCCTGTTCAGACTGGTGCCTTTTTCCTTGTGCCCACTTCCTGAGCCACACATAGGGGAGGAACATTCTAGATGCACATTTTCAAAGGCTGCCTCCATCAGTCCTTCTTAAACTTGCAAGTGTGAAAGCGTAGATGCCTGAGTGCACTCTCTGTTAGCCAAGCCATTGATGCTAGCCCTTCAGTGTGCAGTCTTAGTGACCGATTTTAAACTATTTCATGTCAGGAGCAAAAGAAGCTCGTACTAACTCAACTAGTATTTCAGATGATAATTCAACTAGTCTGTGGCGTGAGAACACTGAGCCAGACACAGCAGTAAATCAGAAAGGTAAGAATCATCCCCTTTTATACCTTCGTGGTGGGTTCTCTTGGGGGGCAGCCAGAGACCCAGGTTTCCCCTGGAGTCTGAACTAGCAAGTGAATCACTTCTCCTTTTCACAGAACCCAAGGTCGTTGCTTGGCAGCACGTGAGGCACACTGCCATGTGTCTCTGAAGGAGACAGAATGGCAGTTTTCCTGACTGTGGTGTCAGGAGGATCTCTGAAACAGGTTTCGGAGCTGCCAGCCTTGTGCTCACAGAGAACTTTAAACAGCCCAAGTGTGGGCTCTCTGATGTTGTAATGTTCTTTTAGGGCTTCAGTTATAGTTCTGTTTTCAGCAGTGATTTTCTCAGCTTAAAAAGAATTGTAAAATACACATGAGCCTGTTTCTCACAGCCCTGGAGCTCCCCACAGCTTGGAGGGGCACCAGTACCTCCATGCCAGCGTGTGTGGGCGTGGCCAGGTGAGGCTGATGTTTGCCAATTAGTTCAAACAGCAAATATTTGTCAGAGGCCTAGTGTGGGTCAGGCCTGAGCAGGGAGTGCATCTGAGAGCAGAGGCAGGCTGGCTTCCTACCTTCCTATTGTTGGCATGTGTGTTGAGATGAGGCCTGAAAGATGGAATGAAGGAACCACTTAACAAGAGATGCTGGAGGGCTGTGGTAGAAGGGACCATGGGTGACCTCAGAGTATGGGGGTGACCAGGAAGAGGCTGCTTGGTGGAAGCTCATAGCAAAAAAATTCATGTGACCAGCTGAGCACAGTGGAAGCATTGAGAGCCAGGCAGTATGGTGGAGAGGGCCTGGCAGGTCCTACCACACCTCATGTGGCCATGTTTAGCTTTCACCATAAGAGTGGGAGGTTAGTAATGTTAGCTTTAGTGACGTGTTTAACATGTTTAGATGTTAAAAAGCATCTCTGTTTTCATTTGAGAGACTTGAAGAGTAGTCCCGAGAAGTCTGAGCACAGCCCAGCCTGTAGAAGAGGGGTGGGCGAATTGTAAGTCTTCAAGACATTTAATGAACACCAGGTCTGCAGAGGAGAGGGGACAGACAGCTGCCCATGTGCACCCCAGCAAGAGCCAGCTCACCTTGGACCCGGGTCTGGCCCAGTAGGTCAGAGGTGGCAGGGGCAAGGGCATGTTAGAAAGGAAGTCCTTGGCAGCCACAGCCAGTGTGGGCTGGGCTGTGTGGAGGACACCTTTGGGTCCCCGTGGATAGGGACTGAGTGTGCCTTGGGTTAGGGAGTGACCTGTGAAATGCAGACAGGTCACTGTGCTCGCTTGCCTCCTGGTCTTGCCGTGTGATTTAATTACCCCATCTCAGTGTCCTTTCTGAGTGTCTTGTGATTCTAGGGTCTGTCCCAACACCCCTATGGCATGAGTTTTAAAGAAAGACTTTGGATTTGATGTCCAGGGACTTGGTCTGCTGTTTGTGTCCTGTCACAAAGGGCGCTCAGTACTGCCTCTGCAAAGGCCTTACTCTCCAGGTCACAGTACCTTGGGAAGTTGTGCCTACTCTGTCCTTGGCAGCCCTGTCCCTGGGTTGAGTGGAACCTGTTCTGGGGCTCCTGAAACAGCCCTGCCAGCAGCACTGATTATTATCACACCATCCTCTGCAGTTGTGCCCTCCAGCCCCTTACTGTCACCTTCTGTGCTGTGTCTTTGTGGGGTGTGATTTCTGGGGGCCTCTGGGATTGCACGAATAGGGGCCTATGAACTCATGTCTCCCCCAGTGCTGCTGTGGTGCCCATAGGAAGGCCTCCTGTGGGTGTCAAGGGGCCTGTTCACTCTGATTCTCAAGGTGTGGGGAGACCATCCTGGAGGTGGGGCATAGGTGAACACACATTCTTGTCCTCACCATAGTGTCCTTGGCCCTCAAAGGAACCCGTGTAGCTTTGGCACCTTTGTCAGATTGTTCCTGTATTTTAAGAGGAGTGTAACACAAAGATTGTGTACCTTTCATTTTGAATCCACCCCTCCTGGAGCAGCCACTCACTTGCTGTGACTGCATGGGCTGTTTGTCCCCAGTGCAGCACTGGAAGAGCAAGGATCTTTCATGTGCAGCTGGGGGGTTTTCTTCTTTAGGAGCTGGTTTCTACCAGCTGGTCAGTTCTGCAGGATGTACTGAGCTTGGTGGTTCCACTCCAAGTCTTGGAAGTGGCCTGGAGGTTTGGCCTGCCAGGCTCAGACCAACTGCTTATACTCAGTGTGATTTTCCTGTGGCTCCCTGACTTTACCAGTTTGTCTCCTACGCTCACTTAATTTATCTCTGTGATATGTTTTCTTCACAATACTGTTTATGGTTTTGCGTGATAGCGTTTATGACTCATAGCTGAACAACATTGCTCGAATCGTGTACTGTGCTGAGGTGTACTATCACAAAAGCTAACTTTCTCTGGTGTGCTTTTTTTTAGGTGACTCCCCCAGTGATGCAGGTGAGGATGTCTCTGCCATATTGGGCATGGTTGTGTGCTGTGCAGGTGTCAGCAGGGGTTCTCAGATTAGTGCTTCACACATGTGCTAGGGAAAGGAACTTCAGGAAGTGTGCTACATAAATTTAAGAGTTAATTTGTATGTTTTAAGTTTCAATCCTGGATGTGGAATATACATGTGTTGTCTATATGTTTTAATCTTGAAAAGACTGCGTTTCAGGTTGTTTTCCCAGAGTATAAGGTCTATTTCTAATGTTCAAATTCTGATTTACTTTTTTGAAGTATAAATTTCTTTTACTTTAAATAGTGGAATAAATTTTATTGTTTTAATAGTTACGGCTTTTAACTTACTACCTAAATCTTTTTATCAAAATGAAAAAAAAGCTATGTTCAGATTATAAAAGTAATGTGACACATACCCAATATAGAAAAAAATTAAAATTCAGAGAATATGAAGAAGAAAATTAGGGCACTTGATAATTTTACTGCTTGTAACTTAAATGAACATCCTTCTAGGACCTATACATGTGCAGGTAATTATTAGTACATTCCTGTACTATGTTAATTACAGATTGGAATGATGATGTTTTATACAGAGTCTAGTCTATGACTAAACCATAATTTACTGTGTTCAGTGACCGGGGGGCGGGGTGAACATCTTGGTGGATGTGTGTTTACATGTGTCTGTTTTTTTCTTAAGTTGTGTTTATTTCTTTTAAGTTAAATTACTGAGTTGATTGTTCTTGAGTAGTTGTACCAGTTTGCATTTATATGGTTTGAGTGTCCTCTTCCCCAAATCTTCACCAAATTTAGGTGTGTTTTATTTTTATCAAAATGATGGACAAAAAGGTAGCTCATTTAGATTTGCAGTCATTTGATTGCTATCTTTTCAGATATTTGTATTTGAATTGTTGAATGAAATATTACTAGTTTGTGTTTCTTTGTGAATGGCTGATTGGATTGTCACCTGTTTAGAAGTGGAAGCTGGACCTGCTAGCCAAGATAAGTCCGAGGGGTCAGAGACTGCAGAAGTCCCCGGGGAGCTCTCTTCCAGTGTCAGGTACGTGTGCCTTCACCCACTGCCTGGGCACAGCGCCCTCCCAGCACAGGATGCTGCCATGCTGCTTCTTGTGGTGCCTTTTGGTGTGTGGTACGTGCTTTCTTGATTTACCGTATGTGGAACATTGTAGCAATTTAAGGATATTCCTGTGTCATGTTTTGATTAATGATAGAGATGTGTCAAATTAATTGGATGTTCTTAGTGCTCTGCAGAGGGTGTGCTAGCTAGCATGGTGACAGTGATATGGGACTCAGTGCTAATGTTATCCTGGTTTTCTTTTGTCCACATTGACATGTGTGAGTATTTAATATTTTTTTGCTCTTCCAATATTTGGATTTAGAAGAATATCTCGGCCTGGGAGTGCAAGACCAGCGCCTCCCCGGGTCAAACGACAAGAGAGTGCTGAGGCGTTGGCAATAGACAGGTGAGGCTGACTTGGCTGGGAAGTTCCGGTCACACAGGCCCTGTGTGCGCTTGTGTGTGTGGGGCGGTGGATGCATTGGCTTTGGGCCTACACTGAGAGATGGGAGGGCACGCAACAGGTGGTGCTGGGAAGACTCTGCTGAGAAAAAGAAAAATGGGATTAGGACCTCACCTTAAGCCTTAGAGCAGGAGGTACTGCAGATGGATGAGAGGGAAATGAATATGGGGAAATGGTAGGCTGTGTTTCTGTGATCTTAGATAGAAGAGTTTGTAAAGCCAAAACAAATGAGAAAAAAAGTGGGGGAAAGGGTTAAAGGTTAATTGTGTGTGCACACACAAAATAAATGAAATAATAAAAGGCTGTCCAGAAGTCATAAGCACTGTAGAGGCAGCAGCCGGGCTGGATCAGACTGGGTTTCAGGGCTTCAGTAGGAACAGAGGCAGGAATGGCGCATGCACGTGTAGGCGTGTTTCCCCGAGCTTTGTTCCTCAGAGAGCCAGGAATGGACTGTGCATGTGACGTGTGTGCATGTGTGTGTGTGTGTGTGTACTGCACAGGTGTTACAGGGTGACTGTGGGTGGGGGAGTTAAGGATACTGCTTGACATTAAGTTGCATTGGAAGGAGATGAAGGCAGTGGGGGGAGGAGTTTGCTGAGCACTCAGGCTGTACAATGCTTGCTTCTGGAGGCTTGTGGTCAAGGCCTAGGTACTGTAGCTGTTAGTGCACCAGAGAGAAAGCTGATGTTAGTTTGGAGTGTGTTTATAAGGTGAGAAAGTGCCAGGGTAGCCCTGGAGGGCATGAGAGAGCCCTTGAATGGCAGTGGTCACTAGGAAGCATGAGATAGCCCTTGGGTAGCAGCAGTCACCAGGAAGCATGACATAACCCTTGGATAGTGGCAGTCACCAGGAAGCATGAGGAGGCTCTCGGGTTGGCGGTGGTCACCAGGAAGCCTGAAGTCGGGCTGGTGGGCCAAGCCATTGGAAGCTGGCTCATCCAGAATGACAGCAGGACCTGGATGGAGAGGAAGTACATAAATGGGGTACTGGGCAGAGACGTCAGGCTACAGAGGGGACTGGGAGACAAATGAGGGGGCCTGGAGGCCCTGCTTTGCAGAGTGACAAGGCCTGGGGACAGTCCTAGCCTACAGGGCCACCTGTGCCACCTCTGGCCTGAATCTTACCACTTTGAGAACAGGCCTCTCCAGGTGTAGGGCGGCAGGTGAAGGACTGGTCCCAGAGCCAGTGTCAGGGAACAAGGAGGTCCCAAGGGCCTTTGTGAAGCAGAGTGCATAGTAAGGCTGGAGCAGAGGGAGGTCTGGGCAGCATGGAGAAGGGTGTGGCAGGATGGGAGGGGGCAGGCTCCCAGCTTTCTTCTGGCTCTGTTTCCTAGCAGTTTGTTTCCCTTGGCATCTGTCTGGGGATGGTGGTGGCTAAATTCCTCTCAGATAATGCTGATATTCCAGATGTACAGGATTGATGAAAATCTGTGGTTGATACAATACTTCTCATGTAATCTACTTTCTTCTTATCTAGGTCAGGGAGCGGCAAAACCGTGTCAAATGTGATAATAGACTCACAGAATTCTGACAACGGAGATGATGAGCAGTTTGTGGTGGAAGCTGCCCCTCAGCTCTCAGAAATGTCAGAAATGGAAATGGTTAGTTTACTGGAGGGCAGTGTTTTTAGTAACCATGTTTAAACAACATTGGGTTAAGACCAGCTTTAGATTCACATAGACCTAATTTTCCTAATGTTTCAGTGAGTTTTCTACCTTCTTTAATTTTTTGAGATCCACAAAGGCACAATTTGAGAATTGGGTATCCCTGAATCTTTCTTTTTCCTCCTTCCTTTCCTGCTCAGGTGCCAGCAGTGGAACTAGAGGATGATGAGAAGCATGGTGAGTCCTGGTGCGAGTGGATGTGTGTGTTCACGTGGTACATATACATGTGTGTGGGCATGTCCTCCTGTGTGCTTTGGGGAGGTCTAATGCAAATAGCTGTTGTATGTGGGACTCTGGTAATAGGTCAGACCAGCTGTGTCTAGGCCTGACTGGGCTGACATGTGTTCAAGGAGAGGTAGTGCTGCTGCCTTCCTTGGAGGCCCAGCAGGAGGCCCAAGATGAGAGGCTAATGTGGGCTTTGGTCAGATTGCATCTTCTTTCGTCTGCCCAGGTAGGTGGGATAGGATCCCTGGGTTCCTTCCCAGGCCTGGAGTTCTAGAATAGTATTGGTTCTTTTCCCAAGCCTGTTTCCTCTTGTTCCAAACATTTGTGAGTGTAGAAAATACACTACACCATGCCATTCTCGTCTCAGATTGTCCTGCTCCTCCCAGGTTCTTTCGGGTCCAGAGAACTTCATTTTATCTGCGAATGCATACTCCAAAAGATAAAGGGCACTTTAGACAAACTGTACTTCTGTTGTTGGGTGTAAAACAGAATAGTCAGCTGGTGCTGGTGGCTCACACCTGTAGTCCCAGCTACTTGGAAGCAGAGATTGAGGGGATAGCTTTATCAAGTACAGATTATGAAGCTGTTTTTAACCTGGAAGGAGAAAGGGAGGACTTTAGTATTTCTGCATTCTCCTGCCCACTTGAAATGGCTCTAACCCCCGATTTTCAACAGGTGGACTTGTGAGCAAAATTCTGGAGACTAAGAAAGATTATGAAAAATCGCGGCAGGCTCCCGGGCCTGGAGAGAAGGTATGGACCAGTTTCTGTGCAGAGCCGCGTTTTGCAGACTACCTCACATACTCGCCTTGAAAAATTAAGGCATCTTTCAAATGCTAGGCTTAGCAGTACATTTTTTTTTTAATTAGTAATCCTGTTTGCATGTTAAATGCCATTCCCCTGCCCCAGCGGGAAGGATAGAAAATGGGGGGCTCTTCTGTGTGGTGCTCCTTTCCTGGACTGTCATCGAGCCTGTCCTATGGGGCAGTGGCTTGCCTGGGGAGCTCAGGAACTAGGAGTCAAAGGCCTGTTTCTGCTTCCACTCCATGGCCTGCCCTCATGGACTCACCTGCTCCTTCAGGACCCTCTTGCAGACTGGTCATTTGCCCCTGACCAATTGCAAAATAAGAGCAGACTAATTTTCTAGTTGTACCTGGTTCCTGGGGTGTTCCTTATGAGTGTGTCATGGGGTTATGTTGAGACCCATGGTCTCCTGTCATCCGTGCTCTTTCATTGGGCATGTGAGCAGTGGAGAGAGCACCTGCTGGCCAGGTGCTGTCTCTTAAATGCCACATCTACTTTTCTCATCTGTCACTGGAAATAGTAAGAATAAATCATGTGTGTGTATGTGTGTAGTGTTTCATGTTATTGATGTGTTATACCAGTTTCTTTCTTCAGGTAACATGTTTCTGGGGCTCTCCCTGTCTTGATACCTGCAGATCCAGTGTATTCATTTTAATTGACATGTAATGTATTCTGTTATTTATTAACTCCTTCATTGGTGGACATTGAGTTCTTTTAGCCATTTGCTGTTATGAACTGTTACTGTCTGCTCCTTCCCATGTCTCCTGGCACACAAGAGCTGTGTCTCTTTGAGCAGGAGTCAGCAAACTTTCTCTTTAGGGCAAGATAGTAAGTATCTCAGGCTTCTGAACCACATGGTCTCTGTTGCAGTTATACAACTCAGCCTGCCTGGCATGAAAGCAGCCATAGTGTAGACACGGCAAACAGATGCCTGAGGCTGTGTTCAGTAAAACTTTATTCACAAAGACAGGATGTAGCTGTGGGTTTATAGCTTGCTGACCCAGCTTCCACGGCTAAGCCCAGACATAGAATTGCAGTAGTGGGGCTAATACAGGTCTCGTTTCACCAGACATGCCACTTTACTCCTCCAGGGGCCACAGCAGGTACTCTCTTGGGAGGGCAGGTCTGCCAACTGTAGTCAGGACAGAGAACACACACTGTCAGAAGTGTCCTGTGCCCTGTAATTCCACCCCTTACCTTGTTCCATGACCCTCTGGCCCTTGCTGTGCATTTTGTTGTTGTAGTTTGTAGTTCCTAGATTGCATACAAATGGAATCACATGGTGTATACCCCTTTTTGTGGGTGCCTTTCTGGGCTCTTTATTGTGCTGCTTCTTGTTTTAAGTACTATAATTCTATAAGAACTTAAAAAGTACTGGAGAAGACTTTGTAAATGTTCCCCTCCACCCCTCTCCCATTCTCTGTAGTGTTTTCACAGTTATTAAACCTTTAGGCTGTGTACAAACTTCATGTGGTTCCGTAAAATACCGTGTTGTGATTTTGGCTGAAATTGTGTTAATCTCCCCTCTGGTGCTGGAATTTGAACTCAGACTCCCGAATGCTAGGTGGTGCTCTGCCACTTGGGCCTCAGGCCTCTCTGCAGCCCTTCTACCTTTTTTGGTAGTAAAAGTACTAGTAAAGTATATTAGGAAAGGAATTTAGTATAACAAGATGATGGTGGGGAGGAATGGGAAAGAAGAGGGAGAAACATTTCCTGCTCCCCCTTATAGGAAATGCGAGTAGAGACTCTCTTCCTTTTTTGAGACAGCATCATATTATGTAGTCCAGGCTGGCCTCAAACTCCTGAGCATCCTGTCAGCCTCCTGGATGTTGGGTTTATAGGAATACAGCACCAAACACAGCTAGACCTTTAATTCTAATGCTGTTCCAGTGCCTTGCTTCTCTTTTTTACAACTCCTCAAAAGAGTTTCACTCATATACTTGCTATCTATAGTTCACCTCTTTCTTCTCCTTTTTCTTGAAACCATTCCAGGGAGGTCCTTGGCCCTACTCACCTTCATCCAAGTGCCTGTTTCAGGGTCACCTGGGCCTCTTAGCTATTGTGATTTCCAGTGTTTGAGTCTCAGTCCCCATCCTACTAGAATTATCAACAGCATTTTTTTTTTCAGTGGTACTAGAATTTGAACTCAGGGCTTTGTGCTTGGTAGGAGGCACTCTACAATTTGAGCCATGTCCCCAGCCCTTTTTTGCTTTAGTTATTTTTCAGGTAAGGTCTCATGTTTTTGCCCAAGGTTGGTCTAGGACTTTGATTCTCCGATCTGTGATGTACTGCATAGCTTGTATTACAGGCATGCCACAGCATGCCTGGCTTATTTTTGAAATGGTGTCTCGCTAACTTTTTTGCCTGGGTTGGCCTCTAACCATATCTGGGACTTCAGGAGTGAGCTACTGAGCACAGCCCTATCCCCAACATTTGCTACAGTTGGCTGTTCTCCTTCATTTGTTTCCAGCCTGTCCTCCATGTCCCTTCTAGTGCCTCTTCTCTGTTTCTTTAGAACTGGAAACTTGGTCTTGTTACCTTTTCTGTTCGCTCAAACTGATTTTTTTTTTAACCAAATTAACTTCCTTAGTGGTTGTATTTTGTTTTTCTATTTCTTCTTGAGTTTATTTTGGTAAGTAATGTTTGGATCAGGATTTGACTTAGCTGCAAGTAAAAGGAGGATCTTAAATAATAGTGCTTCAGTGCTTTCATTTTATCTCCTGAGTCAGAGTGGTGAGGTGGCAGTCCGGGGATAGGGACCTGCATGACACCAGCCTCGCTCTTCCAGGTGTGTAACCTTCATTTCTTAGGGCGCCTATGGGAAAAGATGGCTGTTTCAGATCCAGCCTCCAGAACTGCATTCCATCCAGCAAGAAGGGAGAACGGGGGGAGGGAGAAGGCATGTCCCCCACTTTCAGGATATTTATTGGAAGTTGTGCATACCACTTCCACTGACGTTCTGAACAGCTCTGCCACAAAGGGAGACCATGAAGTGAAGTCTTAATTTCAGGCACATGTTAGTTTAGCTAATGCTAAGAGGTTTGGCCAACCTAGAACTTGGTCAGAGTTTCACAGCTTGATGTGCTCTGAGAATGCTCTGGGAGAGAGGTCAGGCAAGATGGTAGATTAGAAGCTTCCTCTGTTTGACTCTGAGTGAGAAGAGTTAGGGTAACAAAGGAGAGGTCACATTCTGAAGAGAGGAAGAGCATTGGGAATTACTGAAGAGCTTACGGGACAGCTGAAAAGCATGGAGAAACAGAAGGTGACAGAGAAAAGTAGGAAACAGTCTGCAGTTCCAACCCCAATTCCCCAGTGGGGAGGGAGAGCCAAGGCAACAGCCACAAGGTGAGCCAGGTGGCCTTGGCAGTAGATTGGCAGAAGTATCCACAAGGTAAGCCCATGCTTCCTGCAGGCCTTAAATTCAGTGCAGGGATTTGGTGTGAGAGTGACTCCTTCTGCATTTCAGGGTAGCTTTGGAGAGGAAAGACATTTTGCTTTCCCCCATATGTTGGGAGAGCTATAGCCAGGTACCATCCTGTGAGAGGGCTTGTTGTTCAAGACTGAATTACTCTTGGGACCTGAAAACAAAGAACAGTCGTGGCTCAGGAAGCCCAGGGATACCCTGCCACAGTGTCTGGGTGGGATGTGACCAGGACATGGGGAGTATCTGACATGGACATGCTGAAAAGTTTAAGAAGCAGAGAAGTCGGGCAGTGATGTGTGAGTGCAGTGGTTGGTGGCCCTGTCCTTTCTGACAAGGAGCAAGCCCCATCTCCTGAAGATCACTGCTGAATCAGCTCTGAGCCTGTAGCTGGCAGAGTCCTGCAGATCACATGATTTCCCTAGCCTTCTGCCTGCCACGGGGTAGTTAGCTGCTGGGTGGCGTCTTCAAAGTGCTGTGATCAGCAGGCAAGTGCCTAAGTCCCTCAGTTTTCCCCTCCAGTCCAGAGCTCAGTACTTTTGGTGCATTTGGGAGAGAGGGTACCCCTATGCTTGGATGCTTGCTAGCCCTGAGGCACACAAACTGGGTGAGGAGGACTGTAGGGCAAGTGGGAACCTGCCCACAGGTTGCAGAGTTCCTTGTGGTCAGCAGCACCTCCTGGCACACAAAGAAGGGAAGCTTGTAAAGTGAAAGCAGCCCTGAAGCCAATAACTGACCCTTGACTGGCCCCACACTCAGCCCAGGTTCAACCCCAACCTGAACACTAGGAACTATAAGAGACTCCAGCTGGTTTTCTTTTCTTTGAATGGTGTCAGGGAACCCTGAGAATTGGGTGAATCTTTACCTACCCAGTCCAGTGGTTAGAAATTGCACCTCAACCCTACTACTATTCAGTCCTGCCTGAACATTGAGAATACGTCAACTGAAAAACTACAGGTGGTTAAAACCCCAACAAACAACCTGGCCTCAGACACACAAATCCCAACTTAGAAGCACCAGAAATATGGAAAAACAAGACAACAAACATGATTCCTCTGCAAGTTAACAGAATCTAGTGATAGTGAAGTGGATGAAATCTTGAAGAATTCGAAAGAATGATTGTAAGAATGACCAGTGAAATTAAAGAGGACACAAATAATTGCCTGAATGAATTCCAAGAGAATACAAATAAGCAGCTAAATGAAATATGGAGGAGAATTCAATAAAGATACAGAAATCCTGAAAAGTATCTAGGAAATTCTGGAAATCAAAAGCTCAATATGTCAAATAAAAAACTGAGTTAAAAGCCTCACCAACAGACTGGATCAGTTGAAGACAGTCTATCAGCTCTTGAAAAAAAAAAGTAGAGAATTAGAATAGGTAGTAACAAGAAAAAAAAAAGGTACAAATGGAGCATAAAAGACCTCTGGGACACTATTAAAAGGCCAGACCTATGAATCATGGGCATAGAAGAAGAGTTGCAAGCTAAAGGCATAGAAAACATATTAAAAAAATTAATAGAAATTTA